TTAAATTTGAGCCTTTAACTACTTCAGCTCCGTTGGAGCTATACAATAGGAACAATATGCACTAGAGCCAAACCCGAAATTACCTCGATGCCAAATTCTAGTTCACGGTTGGGTGGTAAACCCGATAATTCTTCTAGAAACACATTGGGGAAATCTAGCACTGGTCGGATATCCTCGAGTGTTGGATTTGAAATTTGAGTGTCGACCACATGAGTTAAGAAGGCCTCACATCCCCGTTCGATTATCCGTTGAGCTTTTATAGCTAGTACAATCTTGGATTGGCCCGGCTTCTAACTAGTCATTACTAACTTATTACCATCATGTCTGCTTTTTTATTTCAATCTGGCATCGTGCTTAATTAACCAATCCATACCTAAGATTATGTAAAACTCTCATAATAGTAACTCCATCAAGTCCATTAGGAAGGTCTGACCTTGAATTTCTACTAGGCATCTCCGGTGAATCTTATCTACTAGAGCATCTAGATTTGGAGGGCTCGATACTAAAACTTTTACCTCTAAGTCTTTGGCTGGTATTTCTATCTCTTGAACTAGGTTGGAGAAGATATAGGAGTGAGTGAAACCGAGATCTATCAATTCAGTATCTGGAATGGAAAACACTATTAATGTACCTAATATCATGTCTGTTGCATCATACTCTTCATAATCTCTCGCAGTATACTGTTTGGAGGTTACCTTCAGATCTGCATTGGCCACTGATCTGACTATCCATCTGCTATACTGTTCAGATGTAGTATTACTACCCCTCACTGGTCTTCGACCCCTTTACACAGACGAAGCCGACCTCTGAGTCACTACTAGAGTTACTTCCTGAGTCCTTGGGCAGTCTCTGATGAAGTGATCAAAGTAGTCACAACTGAAGTAACCCTTCGATCACTGCTGGTACATCCATGGGTGCCTCTTCCACATATATATGATGAGTGAAGACTCTCACTAAATCAACGATGCTTGCTCCAGAGACTAACGTCAGGGGTCTCCTCATAGACTCAAACCTACCTCCGTGGTCTGAACTCTGACCAGCTTTTCTCGACTGCACTGTTGGGGGTATCCACGTACCCTGACTATCTCTAAACCTCTTAGATAGAGTCTACGATGGCCTTGTCGACTGATTAGCTCTCTTGGACTGTGCCACAGTCTCACTGGACTATCTAGCCCTCTTACTCAAGACCCTATCGATTTGTTTCACCTGGCAGGATAACTCAGCACAGACCCTAGGAGAGTTGGCTACAAAGAGCGACAAAATATCAAGGTATAGGCCTTTTATGAATCTACGAAAGTGGTTCTCATCTGTCAAAACCAACTCAGGAACGTATCTACTCAACTTGAGAAACTCTCGCTTATAATCTATCGCGATACGATCCCCTTAAGCCAGATATAGAAATTTCTCCCTCAGATTACCAGTGTGAGCCTCTCCTATGTGTTTCTGGTGGAACTCGAACAAGAACATCTCCTAAGATGACCTCACTGGCTCTAGTGTCAACTCTATTATCTCTCACCAGTCAATGGCGTCACCCTTAAATAGGGCGGTGACGCACTCGAGCTTACTATTAGGGTTAAAGTGCAGTTGTTAGAGAGTGTGGAGGGTCTCTCTAATCTACTAATATGCTTCTATGGGATCATTATCCCCTAAACCAAAGAACTCAATGATCTTTTATCCGTAGAATTTCTTTAATGGGACTCATAAGATGCTACTATTGATTGGGATAGAGGTACTGGTGAGGGAGGTAGTGTAGCTGAGGCGTTGGGTGTAACACCCATAACATGTATACTTCTCAAGATACGAGTTAAATATGTTATATTAACACTATAAACATTCATTGATGATAGACACTTAAAATTTTGTTTCATTACAAAACATCATTTTACCAACTTTTAAATTATTTCGTTAATTGCGTAAAGTCATAAAATAATAAATTTTCACCTAAAACAAGTCTATTTTTAGGTAGCAATTAGGCAGTTTAGTGTTGTTTCATAAATTATATAAAATTACTGAAACACTACTTAATTAGAAAACCATTTAAAACATATATATATATATATATATATATATATATATATATATATATATATATACTATTCATTCATAAATACAAACATAACTAGACTAGCCAAAATAAATGGTCCTAATTTACTATTAAATCATTTAAAAACAAATCCAATAAGGCAATGTACATATATAATATACATGCCACTAATAAGTCAAAGATAAGATGTCTTACTGATATTTATATTAGGTATGATTTTCTGAAAAGATGCTCAAGAGGCTCCTCACTTCACGTTCTTTTTCTATCCGAACCTACACATGAAAATCATAACGCGCTAAGAAATACTTAGTGAGGCAATAACATAGCTAAGGTAAGATAAAATATAATTATCATAAAATACTTTAAACCATAAATGTATAATTTAATTAAAAACATTTAAACTTTCAAATCGAGCTATTCAAGTCGTTTTCCTCATGAAAACCTGAAAAATCATCATCTCATGATTTTATCAACAATCATGTAAACTAACATCAAATACAATAAACAATTATATTCTTTTCATTCATACTTTAGAACTTTTATTTCATTTTCCATATTCTTTTCTTTTATATACTTATCATCACTCTCACATTTACCTTTATAGCCCAATGTATATGCAAGAGAATATAAGGTACTAGTGAGTCAAATGAGTGTGTGAAATAAGTACTTCACGATGCTATCATCGTATCAGAATAATGCACTCCATGTGCATTTATATAATTTGCATCAACGGTGTTACTCATAATGTAAACAAATGTACCAGATCATAATCAGAATCACTCCACCTCATGGCATGCCAATTGTACCTACGACTCTCAATGCAATACAAAATGGGCTTTTAGATCCTATCTTATTTGCTTCATAATCCATATTTCAAATTCAAAATCAGTTTTTTACTTCATCATTGTCAAAATAGAACATGGTCAGTTAATACCCTAAATCATCCATAAAACTTTATACAAACACTGTGTAAATAATTCATATTTAAAATAGATATTATACTTTAAAATAATACGAGATTGACTTATCACAAGTCACACTCAATAAAATTAATTAAATAAACTAATTGTAATCATTTTGACACTTTATTTATAAATCAAAATATAAGTCTCACTAAGCTTTAGGTTTAATCCTTTGCTTTCGATTGCTTCGACTACAAAATTTGTCGAAATTTCAATATCTAGCAGTTTGCACTACCTTCAAAGAAGTATTATTCTATATTAATATAAATATTTAAAAAAATATTCCATTTATACCACTGGAAACTAGACTCGAATACAAATCTAACCATATAAGTTAATTCTTCTAGTTCAACTTGTACAATCTATAGCGAATTTTCAAAGTTGACTTATAGAAACTGTTTTGAGAATAATCTGCTGCCCTATTTTCTGACCTATCATTGATTAAAAATTCATATCTTTTTGTATACACCTCGAAATCAGTAGCCGTTTGATTTAAATGAAATTAGGCTGAAATAAAAATCCAACGGTATATAGATCATTCTCTAACCACTTATGTATAATTTATGATGATTTTCTAAACTTACTATTCAAATCATAATTTCTAGGCAACTTTCCTTAATTAACATCCTTAGCTTATTCCATAATTCTATTAATGTATCAAATGGACATTTATACATGAATCACAAATCTCATAATATTTAGGAGTCACTTATTACCATAGTAACTCCATCACTGGCTCATTCAAGCCAATGTTTGTTTGATAACATAAATAAAAAGTTAAATATGCACTCACTTTTGCCTCACTATCAAACTTTTCCTACGATAATCTTCTCAATCCCACACTTTTTCCTTCACTTTCAAGTCACTTGGGTCACTAAATTGATCAAGGTATGACAACATCATATAATTAACATAAAATATTCAAACTATATGTTAGTATCGTACTAACATAATCTAAACTTAATAATATAAAAGTCTATAGAAATAAAATCGATACTTAATCGATATAAAATAAAATCATATTTCCATCATAAATTTCACACTTCTCAAAATACTCATTCGATTATATAAATATTTATTTTATCATCATAAACTTCAACTTTTTCCAACATTGCATTCAAATTACTAATTATGAATTCTTTTAGAATTCATATCAACCTTTCCATTTAATTCATAATGATCCTTCACCATCATGATCATTTCACATAATTTACTAAAATTCCATCACCTTGATAATGTACTCAATTTAATACCTCAACATTCAAAGGCTTGCAATTTCATCCTCTTTTTCTTTAGACTTTTCTAATTCAACCACCTACTTTAATAAACTTGCAATTTGATCCCAAAATAATATTTTAACTCTAAAAATCAATATGCTAATAAATTTTACAGAATTGTAATTTTCATAACAAAATAATATCATCACTTTTAAAAACTCATAATTAAGTCCCATCTATTGAGACTATTCGAATTCCATAATTATACTTATCCAAATTTGCATTTTGACCCTCAATCATTAATCTAACTTAAAATTCCAACATTTCAGTATTAAAATTCAAATTGAACACCCCAATTAACACAATTATGCAATAATATCTCACAATTTTTGAAACTTGTAAAATAGCCCTTTTTCTATTTCAAGCTTCCAAATTGATCTCCAAAGCTTGTAGGACACATCTAATATCAATTCTAAATCATAGGAAAATTTTCAATATTTCGCCCTAAATTTCCCTTTACGGTTGAATGTCCCAAGTCATCTAGGGCTTAATTTACATTCAATTTCAAGAATGAATTCAACTTTCTTACATCAAATTCATGTTATTTCAATCATCGCAACATTAAATTAAATTAAAATCCAATCATTCTTAACAAACCCTGGTATGGTCGAATGTCTTATATAACTCTACACTTGATTTTAATCATCAGACATACTTGGAAATTAATCTACAATATCAAAAGCATAATAATCTTCCATTAAATCTTCAAAATCAAACATGTTCTTCATATAGCCTAATCACCAAACTCATCATAAAAGCATGATTTCCATGAAATTTTTATACCAAATGATAAAGAATTTCAAGAGGATTAATTCTCTATCTTATAGCTTAATCCAAAAATCAATAGAATAAGTTTAAAAATGAACTTGAAATTTTTTACCTCTTTTAGCTATGGTGTTCACGGTTTGCTAGAGAATAAGAGAACAATTCTGGACTTTTCAATATTAATTAACTAATACACGTCTTTACAATAATATAAATGAGTTTAAATTTCATTTATAACTAGTTTACCATTTTGTTATTAATAAAACTTGATAATTTCAACCATGCCATTGCAATATCCTCCATCAAAATATTCCTTATTTAAATATGAACCAAATTGTCTTTGAATTTCTACTTTGGCCACGCAATTTTCAAAAATTGCATTTTGTTCATTAAATTTCCATTGTTCGGCCAAATCTAACAAATTAACTTCAATTCCACTGATACATGCCAAATTTCACTGATCTAAAGTATGGAAATAATATTTCCAACCTTTATATAGCACCTTCAAATTTTTGTGAAATTCTGATTCGATCTGATTATCCGATTTCTATACCGAACTTTATCGCTTTATAGATTTTAATACGAATCTCATACCAAAAATATGATTCCCTCAAAAATTATTGTTTTAGGCCAAACAGTTCATTTACAGGATAAAATATATAACTTTTCAATTTTATATTTTTGGTCCATAAACTTTCATAAAGTTTATACTTTAGTCACCAAACTTTTAAAACTTACATTTTTGTCCTTAACCAAAAAATGGGGAATTGCATTGGGTATAGCCCTTACTATCTACCCAAGGGATGAGGTAAGGTTCCTAAATAAGGTTGCATCCTCGACCCCTGTATCTACTAGTACATCATGATGGTCCGTGTTCGGGATGAACTCGTCATCGATGTTGGCTGCTAGAGATGCATGAATCTTGTCCCTACCGTCCTAACTGTATTCTGGATCATCTACAATAGGTTTTCTTTGAAATTTGAAATAAATGGAGGTTATTATCGTCATTCTAATCTATATAGTACTCTTGACTCTCTAGAGGCATGTACACGTTTAGAGCATGACTAACTCTATCCCACGGGTCCTAGGAACCACTAAATGAGCATACAAGTTCCATAGGTATAACGACATACAATGCTAATATGACATGACGGGGTAGATATCATAGTGTACCTGAGGGTTCTGCATCTCGGAGTGCACACCCCTCTAGCATTCCTAATGTAACACCCTTACCCTATATAATTCCTAAATATGATTCAAAATGTCACATATTGATTTACTAATATTCATTAGAATTCATTTATTCAAAAATTACAATTAATCATTTATTATTAATCGAGTAATATCAGTTTTTATTTTTTTTCAAGCTAATTTTGATTTCAAGCAGCAATTTAGCAGTTCAGAAACTGCCTAATTTCAACCTTAACTGGTTTCTCCATTTTTATTCTATTTTACTGAATATTATACCTGTAATCCATTTAAACATTTTCAACACTAATATAACTATCTCCATTCATTTTAATAACATAAACTAATTCATAAACTATTACAACTAAGTCTAAACTAGTTTATGATCATCTATTACTATTGTATACATGCCAACTAGTAAAATCACAATAAATCATATAGATGTCATAATTGATACATAGAGATATACTCCTCGATAACTAGGATGCCAAGAAATCCTTACTACGATTCCTGCTTTTTACCTACACATGAAAATCATCACATGCAAGTATACACTTAGTGAGGCAATCATAGTAATAGTCAATGCAATACAACACAGATAAATATAAATAAATAACATTACTCAATTCATTATGATCACTTTACCTATATTTCAGTCATGTTACCATATATTAACATGATATAAATCATATATAAAATTTCTTACTAATATACTTGTCATTCATTCCAAAAGCTCATAACCTTTTTCACATGTTTATAATTTATTAACCGATAACCATATCCCAAATATAAGCCTATGATAACCCTGAGTATACGACTCAAAATATACACCGAAGTGCTAATACACATAAGGTTGTGCCCACCATAATACACACAAGGTCGTGCCTACCATATACACTAAGTTTCCTTTATATACACTATAATGATAATTCAAATATGCAACTTGCTGCTAGACTCTATGGCATGCCAATTATACAATTGTCCTTCAATAAAATACTTGGACATATAGTCTATATTTATTTCATCCATGGCAAAGTATATCAACATAATTTAATTTAACATTTGACACTTCATACTAGAAATAACATTCATGATAAACATTATATATAAACTAGTGATCCATGCATTTATATTCAACTTTTGACATAACTAGAACATGTTAAATACATGATAAATGGTATATATATCATGCCAATATAAATAAGGTCGACTCATCGCAAGTCTTCATAATGATGTATAAAACATCCATGCTTCATGTTATGTATGCATTGCACTCACCTTGACACTTTTTATACAAGTCAAAATTTAAGCCTCGCTAAGCTTTAAGCTCGATCCTTTTCTTTTCCTTTGATGTTACTTTGATATCAATTTTGATTGTTGTCTATTAATACATCAAACATATAACACGAATAACCAAAAGCACGTGTTAGTATCCATCCAACCCATGAGCATATAGTGTAGAAAAAATTTACAAAATTCATTTCAATGCAACTGATACATGCATCACAAGACTCGCATCAAAAGAATATAGACTAACACTTCTAAGTGATCCATACGACAAAGCATTGGAAAATAAGAACAACAGAGTAACAGACTTGCGACTGGTTTTTGGATAGGATCCTGATGTTATTTGATCAACATGTCTTTTGGAGTTACAAATGTCTATCTCTTAGCTTTCCAACTGTTCTTGAATCACATTAATTTGATGTCGGGCGGGATTAATGCGATATTTAATAAATATTATGAATTTTTAATATTTTCATAAATTATATGTAATATAATTTAGCATAATGCAACGAAATAACACTAAAGTTTGATAGTGTCGTAACCGTCTTTCGGTTGGTTCCCGGAATTGGGCTTCGACTTGAAAAATGTGATTGGAGTCGCCACCGATTATTTATTTAAAAATAAATAGGTTAATCGGATACCTTATATCTTACCTGATATGCGTCTTACCAAAGATATGTCGGATTCGGGAGTCGGTTACGGTCAAGGAAGGATTAGCACCCTTGAACCGCCCTTTCGGTACTACGTAATTTCCAGTTGTTTTTAATTAAGAAAATCGAAAGTTAAAATTTAAAGGTAACATATGATCCAAAATTACTTACCTTCGATCAATTTGAAAGAGTACCCTTAAAGAGTTGAGAAACATGTTAGATATAAAAAAAAATAAAGAAAATAAATAAATAAATTCAACCAAAATAAAAAGAAATAAAATAAAATACAATAATAAATAAATAAATAAAGCATAGGAAAATGATAGTAAATAATAGTATAAATATAAAATAAAAAAGGTAATATATATAAATAAATAAAATACACATAAAGAAAATGAAGCAATAAATATAATATATATAATAATGATAAAAGGTAATATACGTAAATAGATGTTAGAATGAAACACTAAAATACATATATGTAGTTATGTACATAATATATATCGAATAAAAAGAAGAGGAGGAAACAAATAATAATATATAAAAAATATATAGATATAATTGTTAGTGAAAATAATAACAAATAAAATATAGTATAATAGGTAAAAAATGCGAAATCAAGAAAATGAATTAAAACATGAAGGGATTAAATTGGAACAAAAGAAAATTAGGGGTCAAATTTCGAAGTAATCGGGGGAATATTAAATACTTAAAAAAATGAACATGCCTTGGGAGTAGATCTAGGTTCGAAACTTCGAAACCCCACCCCTTTTTGGTCATCGGCGCAACCCACGTTTTAGGTTATTCGAACCAAATCTCAAGAAAAATAACGTGCACATGCAAAAAAAAAAGATAAAAAAAGATACTACCTTTTATTTCCTTTTCGAATCGTTTACAATAGCTTTGCCTTTGTATTTTCCGTGCTTTCCTCTGTGTTTTGTGTGTAAATCGTATGATAATCGTCTCTTACAAATGGGGAGGATTACATGTATTTATAGTGAAAAAAAACTAACTATTCTTGGAATCCTATCAACAATAGAATCCTAATGCAACTAGACTCCTTGCTTGGTTGTTGCACGTTTGTTGGTGTAGTTGTTGATTTAAAAGATATGGTGGTGAAAGAGTCCCCTTAGGAGAGAAACTCTTGCTAGTTATATCTTTTAAGAAAATGGGTGTCTACAGCTGCCCCTCTTTGTCCTTTTTCGTGGAACGAAAAATAGGACAAAGATAAAAAGACACAAATTTTCGTTCAGTGGAGTTGAAGAATAACTCCATGTCGAATTGAGTTGTGGATGGCTCCTCCGTCGCGAAGTCGAATCCATCTTGAAATGATTTGTCAATATGAAATGACCCCCTTGTCGTGAGGTTGAGTCAAAACTGGAAAATTCTGAGCCTGAAATCCTTCGTCGTGAAGTTAAAATCGAACTCAGAGTACTGGAAGTAGCTCATGTATTGTCTTCTAGCCAAAGATACTTCGTTGTGAAGCTGAAACTCGTCCTGAAGACTTTGGTGTTGTGGTGTTACAGATGACTCCTTCGTCGTGAAGTTGTGTCCATCTGTTCGTGAATTTGAAATTGTATAGGGCCCCTTCGTCGTGAAGTTGAGCCTGAGAATTGGATATCCTTCGTAGTGAAGTTGAAATCCAAGTAAGTAGTGCTGTTCCGAGTCTAATATCTTCTGCCGTGAAGTTGAAATTGGTTCTAGAACTGGGAAATTGTTTTGTTGACAGTCAGCCGCCCCTTCGCTGTGAAGTTGAGCTTGTGCTGTCTTGGGTCCAATATCCTTGGTTGTGAAGTTGAAATTGGCCCTGAAATTGTTGTTGACAACCACCCGTCCCTTCGTTGTGAAGTTGAACTTGTGTTGTCTTGAGTCCAATATCTGTGAAGTTGAGATTGGCTCCAAAAATGTTTGTTGACAGCCAGCCGCCCCTTCGCTGTGAAGTTGAGCTTGTGTTGTCTTGGGTCCAATATACTTCGTTGTGAAGTTGAAATTGGCCCTGAAATTGTTGTTGACAACCAGCCATCCCTTCGTTGTGAAGTTGAACTTGTGTTGTCTCGAGTCCAATATCTGTGAAGTTGAGATTGACTCCAAAACTGTTTGTTGACAGTCAGCCACCCCTTCGCTGTGAAGTTGAGCTTGTGCTGTCTTGAGTCCAATATCCTTCGTTGTGAAGTTGAAATTGGCTCCGAAATTGTTTGTTGACAGTCAGCCGCCCCTTCGCTGTGAAGTTGAGCTTGTGTTGTCTTAAGTCCAATATCCTTTGCTGTGAAGTTGAAATTGGCTCTTAAATTGGGAAATTTGTTGTTGACAATCAGCAGTCCCTTCGTTGTGAAGTTGAACTTGTATTGTCTTGAGTGGTACGATATCCTCCGTCTTGGAATTGACATCATAGACGTTTGGCTTCGAGCTAGATATCCTTCGTCGTGAAGTTGAAATCTACTCTCGATCAAATTGTGTTGCTTTGATTTCAATATTTTTCACTGTGAAGTTGATACTGACTCTAGCTAAAGCCTGTCTGGAAATCTTGATTGGAGTTTGAATTCTTCAAGTGTTCCAATCTGATGTTTGTTTTTTATCCTTGATCTGGGAAATGCTTCTCGACCATCTCAATTATATGCATGAGCCTTGATCGGCTTCCGAGTACCTATACTTTTCAATGAATCTTTTTACAGTAATATGCGAATATCTTTTGCATAAGTAAATAAATCATTAAGTTTAAGCTCAATCCAAGATGCTCAAAAGGAATTGGTGTAGAGAAAAGGATCGTCTTTTATTCACGAGGGAAAAAGGACAAACATTTTGGGGGATGAAGACATGATGAGGTATAAATAAGTGTCTTAGATTTCAATAATGTGGGCACTTCTGAGCTGAAAAGCCGTTAGGTGTCCTTGAATACAGCCTTTGCCAAGGGATCTTTGAAAATGCGACAACATTCAGGAGAGTGCAACATTTCCTATGAAACATTCAGATGCCGGGGAGTTTCAACTGTTTGGATTTCTTGAATTATCCAAATCGCCCTTTCGGGTTTTCAACTTGGACCCATCCTTGGTTGCAAGACGCCCTTTGCGGGTTTTCATCTTGAACCCACCTTTTTGTTCTTTTTCTTTTCTTTTTTCAATCTAGGGCGCCCTTTCGGGTTTTCACCCTAAACGTTTTTTTTTCATTTTTTTTTCCGACTTAGGACGCCCTTTCGGGTTTTCATCCTAAGCGAAGTATTTCTTGACTGCATCCGAATTGATGGGATGTGGTAGGTCAGGTCCGTCCATTCCGGCCAGGACAAGGGCTCCTCCAGAAAAGGCCTTTTTCACAACATAGGGTCCTTCCCAATTTGGCGTCCATTTTCCTCGGAAATCTTTCTGAACTGGCAAAATTCTCTTTAGCACCAGATCTCCTTCTCGGAATATTCTCGGGCGTACCTTCTTGTCATGTGCTCGAATCATTCGTTTCTGATAGATTTGGCCATGGCGAATGGCCTTCAGTCTCTTCTCATCTATTAAATTTAGCTGATCATATCTGGATTGAGCCCATTCCGCATCATCCAGTTTGACTTCTGTCAAGACCCGTAATGATGGGATTTCCACTTCAATGGGCAGCACTGCTTCCATTCCATATGCCAGCGAAAATAGAGTTGCCCCAGTCGAGGTTCGTACCGAGGTTCGGTAAGCAAACAAAGCGAAGGGCAGCTTCTCGTGCCAGTCTTTGTAGGTCTCAGTCGTTTTCTCCACTATCTTTTTAATGTTCTTGTTTGCTGCTTCTACTGCACCGTTCATCTTTGGTCTGTAGGTAGTAGAATTGTGATGTTTTATGTTGAATTGCTCACAAGCA